AAAACACCAAAAATAAGATTGGAAGTGAAGCGTGAGGGAGCTGAGAATAGGGTCATAGATAATGGCACAAGGTGAGGGGCAGGGTGGACCTCAAATGAACAGTGGGTAGGTTGGTTTTTTAATACCAGATGTAAGATGTAGTGCTGCACTGCTGCTGTCAGGCTCCACAGTGCTTGTTTCCCAAGTGCTCGCAAGTTGGAATAGCCAAAGGCTCTGTCTGTGAGTCCTGGATCCTTGAGGTCTGAAGGAAAATTTCCCGAAAGGGCTGTTCGGACATGAGCACGTGACTGATGAGTGCTGTTACCAAAGCAATTGCAGACAGCAGCATGGTGGGATGATTTCTACAGACTTCTGATGACCTGCTTCTAAGTGCGCTGAAGACTGGTTATCATGGTTTGTAACTGTCCTCTTCTGCTTAGTTTTGAGCTTGTAAAAAAATGACAAAAGCACTTCCAGGCAGATTTTAATTATCCCATGTTCATATTAAATAAGTTCCTGGTGTTTGAGTTTCTGTAGTTAGAAAGACAAATAATAGGAAAATGTTGAAGGAGAGAGGGGTTTTTGCTGAAGTCCACAGCTTCTATTTTATCAGCCCGGAGACTATGCTGTATAGATATTTCCTATTTCTGGTAGTGTGCCAGTACCACCTCACCTTGCATGGACTCATCTGTCTCTAATGCCATGTTTCCACACTTAATGTAGCTGTTGAGTGGCCAAACTACCTTTTAATGCGATGAGTGCAGAATTAGGCCTGGAGAACAGTCACTGCTTTGAGAAACTACTTTATGCTGACTAACCCAGAGCTCTTTGCTTCTCTTGAGGGTTTCGTTACACTTTGCCACTTGGAGGAACGCATTTGGCTGAATTCAGTTGCTTTCCCTTTTTACCAAGTCTGTTCTGTTGGTTTTTTACTTTCCCAGCTGAAGTGCAAGGAGGTATGGAGTCTCAACGGACTGGTGAAGCACCTTTTTGGCAAGCAGCTGTTGAAGGATAAGTCAGTCCGCTGTGGTAACTGGGAGGAGTTTCCCCTCAACGAGGAGCAAAAATTGTACGCAGCCACAGATGCCTATGTATGTAGAAGAAATCACCATCATACCTGTATCAATTGGTTGCTCTAATGTGCTGTTAGCTGCTCTTTTCATGCTTTTCTGCCACAGAAGGTAACAAATGTAGGAAGACTTAGAGGTTACTGAGTTTTTAACCCTCAGTGTTCATCCAGAGCTTTGTTCTATCCTATGTGTTGGAGTCGCTGCTCCTTGTGCCTGAGCAGGTAACGTGTCTTGTTGCTGAAATCACTCAGAAAGCATGTTGTGGTGAACATTTAAAGTAGAAAATTGAATGTAAATGGAAGAAAGAACCTCTTTTCCACAGCAGTCCTGAGCCTCTCCTGAAGCTCTTGAAGTTTTGTGGTGTTGCTAGAGTTGCCTTTTTATTAAAAACTGTTCAGGAAGCAAAGCTTCTAGAAGTTCTGCTGTGCTCTGAATGTGCCACGTAATGTGAGCACCAGCAGTTATGCCTGAGGAGTGTCAGTGCATTTGGACTCGCTTCACGTTGTCACTTCAGGGAACTGAGTTTTGATCATCAGGTTAATTTTCTACCTGTGTGTATGGAGTAAGCCTGAATTCTTGCACCATGATTACCCCACATGCATGTAATGTGGCTGGTGTGTATTTAAGTACAATCCTCGCATATGCAAGTCGAGTGGGTAATTATTTTTTGGTTACCTTGTCCGCAGGTGTCCGCTGTAGCTTGGCAACACTTGCAGATGTGTTTTCTACTGGGCTTTTTGACCATCTTTGACCTCCTTAAGAACCAAAATCCTGCTCAGTGTAATGTGAGGTAAAATTAAGAAGCAGCTTGAAGAAGTACAACCTTCTCCAGTGGCTAATACAGCAGAACCACAGTACAGCTTGCCAGTCATTTAGCTGCATATAAGTGTCTGTGGCTGTGTGGAAGTCCTTGCTTTTGCACCATTTTGAACAGAGCATGGTTTTCACTCGGTTCTGTGAAGAGATTTACGGATAAGCTGCCTGCTTCCTGGGAGGAAATTCTTTTTCATGGCAGCAAAAGACAATTGTGTTGGGTTTCAGTTGCTATGATGAGGTTAGGTGGAGGAAGAGAAGTGGGACAGTGGTGTCTTTTTTTCCTGACTCAGGCAACATTACCTATTTTCTGCATCAGTTAAATGTTAACCTGTAGAGCATTTTGCACCTGTGAAGACCCAAACCAGTAAGCAAAGGAACTCTTTTTTGGTGCCTGGTATAGCTGCTGAAGACAGCTTTTTCCAGGCAATGCCACTTTCTTGCTATCCTCTGTTCACCTGACCTGCCTTTTGCAGCCTCCCAGGAAAACTAGAGGGAGTAACTTGGGTTTTTCAGTTTCCTTTTTCAGATGCTTTGGTTAATATGTGGTGCCTAACTAGCACATTCCTAGCTTTAGGCTATGTTTTCCTGTTAGAACTTATTATTCATATCCAGGGAAATATTAAGCCCACAGAATCTGTCTTAGCGGGTTCACAGTTATTCTCTTGGAGTGCTAGATAAAATCTGAATGAGGTGAAGCAGATGGTGAGGCTGGGAGCTGAGTACTTGAAGCCCTCTATGTGCAGCTGAATTGAATCGTGCTGGGCTCTGTGTGAGAGCATTCACTGCAGTGTGGACCCCAAGGCAAGACTTGGCGTTTTGTGAAGCATTCTGTAAAACCTAGCGTGATGGTGATGATTGATAGAGCAAGGTGGAGTGTTCACTGTTGTACGACCAGGGTCAACAGCTCAGAACTTGATATTCACAATGTATTCATGGTGTAGTTTGCTGAAGTCCTCCTTCAGTTTTTGATTTAGTCTCTTAAGATCATTTTCTGCCGAGTCCCAAGTATTAATGTCTTTACTTTTTTCCTTTCTCTTGCAGGCTGGCTTCATCATTTATCAAAAACTAATCAATATGAATACCAATGACCAGAAATTACTTGGTGTAAGAAGAGGTAAATTACATACAGAATAATTTCTTTATGCGTGACTGTACAATTGAATAGTCTGTTTTGCAACAGGTAGTTTTTCCATGGTATCTTTGTGTCAGCCTTGTCTGGCTTCTTGTGATTAGATATTGCTTCCAGAGAGACGAAACTGTAAAGGCTGTTAGATGACCTGGGTTACCATACTGGGTAACTATTTTCTGTAGTGAGGTAGGAATGCAGTTTTGGTCTATTGTTTGTTTCTGCTTTATATGGAGATGATAAGATACTCCAGTTCATTTATAGAAATGCATCACTGAGATAATTTGAATTCTGCTGATGCGGGGACAAAGAACAGACAAGACCACAGGGGGGAAAAAATACAACCACCCAAATGTGTTATGATGGAATGGTTTCTGGAGGCGAATGAATAGGACCCAATTTTTCTTCAATTCTGTTTAGTTTTGTAGAGCAGCTTATATACCTGAATAGAGAAGTGATTCTAAAAATCCTGGTGACTGAGTTCTGCGCTTCCTAAGGGAAGCATGTAGCTTATGATTCAAGAGGTGGCTGGTGGGGAGCTGGTTTACTTGATATAGTGGCCGAAACCTACTTACTTATGGAAGGCAGAAGTGGCCATACCAGCACTTTAATACGGGGTGCAGTTTTTTGGCTTTTTAGTCAGTTGATCTGTGCTAGTAGCCCTTGAATGGAAGCTGGAGTGTATAGTGGGGAAGGATCACTTTGTAATGGTCCCGTTGTGTATCCTTGAGCGTGTATAGTGGGCAGCTGCAAGAGATGTAACTGTGAGTGCCTAGAAGCTTGGCTTGATTCCGTGTGCTTCATGTTTGAAGAACTGGAAAAGGCTGTCTTGTCATCTCTATGTCTTGCAGAAGTGCAGTGACATGAATGCAACTTAACTGTGTTTAGATGATAGGCCTTAATTTGAAATTAACTGTGATGGCACCTCTTACAGATGAGATGTCAGAGAGTATGAAGGAGCACTTGACTTCACTAATTGGAGAGATAAAGAACTTGGCTTCTCTCGTTCCTGACTGTCCTGAACAACATGAAAGTTTGCAGAGGTTAGATTTTTGCCAGCCTGTCTCTATTTCACCCGTATCACCAGTGTTTTACTCTAGATGCCTGAGGTCCCACACCACCAAATACATGTGGGCTAGCTATTGTCTCTATTCTCTGCGTGTCCCTTCATGAGAAAAGCATGTTAAACTCAGTTGCAGAAGTGTCTTTACGTGTAATAACATGTTTTACTGCTCTAGTTGCAATGGACTTGACATTGAACTTGGAGTCTGTTTCTTCATGCTGAAATGGACAGAAGGATGACCTTTAATAAATATTGACTCCTGCATCATGAACTAGGGGAAGTATGGAGACTTGAAAATGTGGGGGCAGTACCACAAGCAGGGGTTTTTTGGGTCCTGATAAGTTTCCCTCAGCATAAGGAAATAGAATTTTCTTCTCACAGAAGTCGAATGCCAATTACATGTGAGTGAGCTTTTATATGTGAAGTTTTGGACTAAGTCTATCTGGGCAAACATACTACTTGAGAATCCTTACTTCTGGTTGTGGCTAAGGTGTACGTAGTAACCTACTTGATTGTGGTTTAATTTTCTTGTTTGACTTTCTAGGACTGCAGAAATCCTATCTGATTTATCAGAGAAAGTAAACACCTTAAGAAGCACGTTGCTTGCTTTAGGTTTCACTTCTGTACCAGAGAGGAACCGTAGTGCAACTCAGACAAATCTTGCAGCAGGGTCATCAAACAATGAGGCACAAAAAATGGATGTGTCAGAATTTACTAAACAACCTCAAGGTGACTTCAACATCTGCTCTGATGCTACGCTAGCCGGCCTTTGGGAAGAAGATACTAAGGAAGAAGCAGAGAGAGGTAACGCTGCCATGGAAGATGGGGCTGCAGCAGCCAGCTCTAAGGACGGAACAGACAGCAGCGACTTCATGTCACTAGGCATTACTGAGCAAGAACTGCAGATGTTGGAACGTCAGGCTGCAAAGGAATTAGTTGAGAAAGCTGCACCTGAGGTAACGAGAAAAGCCCTTGTTAATTGTGAAAGCTCAGTGGAGGAGGTTACCTAATCCTTAATTTTCCCCCAAAGTTTTAGTAAGTTCTGTTCCTTAGAGAATATTAAGGTGGGCTGAAAGAAATTCTCAGTCTGCAAAATACTTACGGTGTTAGGCAAGCACTGCACTGCTCTTCAGACAGCTGGTTGGAAGGATGCAGAGCACAGAAGCTCTAGACAGTCTAAGTAGTTTACTTTTTTCGGTTGCTAATAGATCCTCAAAGAATTTCTTTGAGTATGGGGACAAATTTTGCACTTGAGCATCTCCAGCCTGGTCTTGATTAAAAACAAGTTAGTGCCTGATGAGAGCGGACTGCCTCTTAAAGAAGTTGTGATCTGATTTAGTGTTTCACATATCTGGTGGTGCTACTGGGTTTGTGTCTTACTACAGGGCCTCACTATGTTCTAATGTTTCTTATAGATCTTTTTTCTAATGGGCGGGCTTCAGGGCTGAATCTTTGTTAGTTATTTTGGATTAGAAATAGAAGCATACAGAGACATGGCTTTTAGTATGTACAGAAGGTTGAAATATTGTGGGTAAAATACAATTAACTTCATTGGTAAGAACAAAGGATTTTTCTTCCTCTTTAGGAAGCACGCTCCACAGAAAACAAACAGAATGGTGCCTGTGTCATTGAGAGTGATGAAGAGCTGGAAATGGAGATGCTTAAGGTGAGTGTCTCAAGATCTTTGTTTCTATTTGTGAGAAGTCTTAAGTCACTTCTTTGTCTAACCTGCGCATCCATCTAGGTAGAAGTTAAAAACAAAACCGCCCCAGCCACAGCTGTTGCTTTCATAAAATCATAGATTTTCATGTCGTGAAAATTTCTAAGGCCTTTTTTACAAAGAAGAAACAAAAGCTGTTGTAATGCTACCTGAGAAATCGCTCTCTGGAATTTGGATGCTGCTGCTCAAGTGGTCTGACCGCTGTGCCTTTCTTTGTGCTGGGTGCCAACAGATTCAGGTTTTATGCCCTAAGCAGATGAAAACTTGTATGCCCAATTTCATACTACCTCTAACATGCATTATCTTTACCCTTTCATGCTCCAAAATAACTTTCTCCAGGTTTTTCAGTCTTTAGAAGATTTAGATGATTCCAAAGGAGTTGTAATGGAAACAGAAGCCAATAACACCAGGAAAACTCCTGACTCAGAGTTGAACATTATACCTGATGGTGATGAAGATGAGGGCATTGAGGAAGAAGAGGAGGAGTGTTTGGGTACACTTTAAATTATAGTATATGATTAAATAAAACCCATTATCTGTAGAAGCAGGTGTATAAGCCCAGTGACATTTTCTTCTCCTTTTCTTTCTGGTCCTGTGGAGACAAATTGTTTACAGGCAAGAGGCTGGAAATGGAGATGAAATTAACTTTGACTTGTTTGAACTGTCACAGTGTGAAAGCTTCTTTCCCTGGTTGTTGAGGTTAGACTGTGGACCTCATCACTGAAAGTAACGGCATCAACCAGGGGAAGAGCCCTTTGCTGCTTCTAAGCAGAGCCTGGGCTGCTAGATAGGGACTGATGAGGGAACTTTTGGTTCATCTTCCTAAACAACAGCCAGACAGGCTGTTACAGGGAATGCATTATTGCCCAACAGTCAAAAACTAGGCAGGAGTTTCATGCGTTCTGCTGCTGAATGTTCTCGCGTTCTCACAGACTGGAATCCCTTTGTATGTTATTTTTGGACCAGGTCTTTTAGCAACTTGCTGTGTTGTATGTTTAGTGTCACTTCAGTGGGGTCTCTGAAGGCATGACTAGTAAAATCCGGTTTGTACCTTGTCTGAATATGTTCCAAATACCTTGTATGTTAGTATCTCGGTAATCAAGCTGTATGTAGTCGTTGTATTGTGGGTTCTCTGAGGACCCCATTTGCTTTTTCTAATCTTTTTTTTTTCTAGCCTGTAAATACCACTAGAATTTTATATCTCTGCATCTCGGCTGGAGTTGCCCAAATACTAGGCCCCACACGTCACTAATAATAAGCAGACTGTTGTTTGTCAGGATGGTGCTTCCTCCTTCCAAATTTAATCACTGATCAGACTTTTTTTTTCCTTCTGTCCTGCTAAAGATCCACTGCTGCCAGTACCTAGTGAAAGCCACATCACATGTCTGAAGACTTATTTTGGGCATTCTTCTTTTAAACCGTAAGTATATTTTCTCTTAAAATGTGTGCTCTAGAGTTCAGTCTTTTTCCCTTTTGACTCCAGTGCTTTTTTTCTTTTAAATACTGCTTACTTTAAAACCAGGAATGGACTAGTACCTGTTCAGAAAATCCACACTAGAAGAAAAGCAGCCTTTGCCATAAGATGTCCAAGTAAATCTTATATTGTGTGAGCTGCAGTATTGGACTCTCACAGTAAACGATGAGTTTCTTGACTCTTGTGGTGGCATACCTACTGTGACTGAAGCTTTATTCCATCAGGTCTAGTTCAGGTGTTTTAAAGAGCGAGCAAAAAATTGCCCAGGTGGTATTCTCTCTATCATCAGCTTCCTTAGTCTGGTTATTATTTATGTGGCTCTAATTAAGGAGGGACAGGCTTCTGTCTGTTTGGTGTGGCAAATCTCAATGCAGTATGTGCTCACCTACTTGAGTATTGCCAAGTTCAGTGGGAATGGGATGGAACACTGGGTGACTGGAGGTGGAAAACTTCCTGTACAACACACAACCTGAGAGCAGCACTTGGTGGAGGAGGCTGTTTTACTTCAAGTATTTCCTAAACTTGTGGAAACAGGAGTTGGGGGAGGTATTTTTTTCTTTCAGTTGACCAGTTAGGTAAAATCTCGAGACCACTAAAAGATGCAAATTCTTTGGTGAAATGGAGGTCTTGGTTTGAATTGCTTGCAATGAGGATGACTAGCTCTCGCAGCGTTTGTGGATTGATTACATGGGAAACAGTTCATTTTGGTTTTTTTTTAAATCCTTTGTGAATGACTGCATCAAATATTGCATGCCTTAGTCTTGCTAGAGATCCACTGTGTAACACCGGTGGGACTGCCTGCAGTAGTTAGAGCGTTTGAGTGGTTGTGTTGTGCGGAGCCAACACTCTCAAAGGCTGCTGGAAGGGTTTCTTGAACCTGAAATTGAACTGAATATAGAATTTAAGAAAATTTCCCTCTTGTGCGTGCTGGCAAAAATAAGATATTCCTCTTTGTTTAATTTAAAGGGTCCAGTGGAAGGTGATCAATTCTGTTTTAGAAGATAGAAGAGATAATCTTGTTGTCATGGCAACTGGTAAGTTACCTTTACATTCTAAGAAGCAGTGAAAAAGCTTTTCCTTTTTCGGGAGAGTAGGACTCAAAGTTGGAGACTATCCACGTGTCCTCATGGAAGCAGGGTACCTTGATTGACACGGCTTAAGTGTGAGCCAGCAATGTGGGCTACTATTTTTTTTTTCTGTCCTAGCCTTTGTCAAGGACCTTAGTGTAGAGAGGAGTATCAGATGGATGCTGACTATATTTATCTTGCTTCTTAGCTCCGCTACTAGAAGAGCAAATATCACTCAATTTTTAGGGCTCAACAAGGTGTTAGAATTGGCTTATAGAGCTATATACTGAGCTGCATAGAAAGCCTGATATTTCTCTTTTGCCTTTTTTCTTTGAGGCTATGGAAAAAGCTTGTGCTATCAGTTTCCTCCTGTTTACACTGGATGTAGAGCAATTGTTATCTCTCCTCTTATCTCCTTGATGGAGGACCAGGTGCTGCAGCTGACGTAAGTAATGTGATAGTAACAACCTTGTGCTGTATTGCCTGCACAAGCCCACGGGTTCTGCTTGTGGCATTTCTTGGTGTCGAGGGTTGCAGCTTTTGCACAGCAAGCTGTTTGTGTGTCAGCTGTAAAGCATATGTTACTCAAGGAACACAGGCAAACTGTGTAAATAATCTAAGATCCCTGGGTTTTCCAATTGCATGAACTGTGGGCTGAGTTTTGGATGGGTTTAGGCTGGTGGGTGGTTCCTGAAGGTGGATCCTTGTCAAGTATTTCTGGATTCACAGGCCCTTTTTGTGCAGACAGAGCTGATGGAGGAATTTCACGGGTTGTCTCAGTCTGTGAGAGTTATGTTAAAATTGGGAGAGGCTTCCTTTGGGTCTGAGAAGTAATGTCTGAGCTACATCCAGCAGAAAGCTGGAGGCCATTTGGATCAAAATTATGGCACAGACTTTGTAGCAGGTGTCCTTGATTTTTCATACCTGATAATGCTTTCTCTACTTGTACTTGCTCTCTGTTACAGCCATTCACTCCTAAACTTGTTTTTTTTTCCTCATTTAACTTGTGGGAATCATGCTGAGTTGTCTAGTTCATTCCTGCCTTGTCTAACTTGTAAAGAGCAGCTCTTTTGTGTAAGAGGGGATATGAAGATTACGGTTTTTTTTTGAAGCAGGCAACATCAATTATGTGTAGTATTTTCTGCTTTGTGATTCTGTGTGCAGATGACTGGCTGGACAGGATAAGCGGGCTCTACACCCAGCTCCTAGACTGAGTATTTATCAGCAGGGTGTCTATACCTATTCAGCTGCTTCTTTGTGTTTGGTCCTGTTTTGCTCACTGGAAAGGGTTTAATCGCTACCCTCTCAGCGGGTCCTTCGTCCTGAAGGCTGAGGAGACTCAATTTGTGCAACCTAATGCAATTCAGTGATTTGTCTGTCAGTCCGACTGCGGTTCTGCCAAGGACTGAACTGCAGAGCAATGAGGGGTGAGAAGCTGTCAAAACAAAGGCTGTATTAACATGCACTGAATCACCACGTTAAGAGTGTAGCAATTGTGGGATCCTCAAAGAGATCAAATGTGAAGTGGCTGAGCTGGTAAATGTAATTATTGAATCCAACATTAGAAAGCAGCCACTTAATTGAAAACGAGCAACTTGAGCAGTTCAGGAGATTGAAAGGGGAGGTAACAATTGCAAGCAAGGCTTGCGTCCAAACATGATGAACTACATAAGATAATAGCTGAAGAAAATGTACATAATGTGTTTTCTTATGTTGGATATTTTACTTATAAACTTAGCTCTTGTGCAAGGAAAATTTTGTCTTTATTTTTGTCTTTATTTCTCCAGTCTTTATTTCTCCAGTTGTTTATTGCATTAATTGATTGTGCTGTTGGGGACAGCTGGAGGGGAAGCAGAAGAGCATTTGGGTGGCAGGAATAGCAGCTGAGCACTCTTTCTTCTTGGAAAGGCTTTTCCTACTAAGACCTTGACAATAAAGTAATGTCTGACTGTGCAGCTTGAACTTCCTTTGCAATGTGCTGACATAAGCTGAAAGCCAAGGTTGAAAGTGTTGAGGGTAAATCTGTTCATGACAGTGCGTGCTTTTTTTTTTATTATGCTGCAGAATGTCAGGGATTCCGGCTTGCATGCTTGGTTCAGCTCGGTCGGAAAACGTCAAAGAATGCATCAAAGGGTAAGTCTTTACTGAAGCTTTTTTGAGACTGTGTGTTCTGGTGTAGCGGTAGTGGAGAGGTAGCATGTCCCTCTGACCTGTTGTTGCTGAAACTCTAGATTCTGGCCCAGACCTGGAGCCTTCCAGTCAGTGCTGTTCCTTGCATTTGCATTCCCCCGGCTGTGGGTCCAGGAGGCTATACCCACCCTCCTGTGCCCTCTGACTTGGAGATGGTGGTTGTTGACTCAGATTTATGCTGTGATTTATACAGGATCTTGTCCCCTAGCCATCATAACAGTCACTTCTTGTTCTAAAAGCAAATAAATTTCTCTTTTTTTTCCTTTTCCTGTAGCACTGGGTATTGCTTTGCTTTACTATTGTTCTGGAATGTGTTCTGCAGTCTTTGCTTTCTACCTCTTGTTCCTCTTGTCTAGAAGCCCGTACTTGTTCTCATTTGCGTCTTCTAGACGCAATTATTTGTGCTGCGTTTTGTTTTGTTGGTTTTTTGTCTTTATTTTCTGGGGCTTTTCATTCTCTGACGGTGTCTTTTCTTGATGTTTCAGAGGTGAATACAGAGTCCTATACATGACTCCAGAGTTTTGTTCTGGGAACTTAAATTTGCTTCAGGAGCTGAACAAATCCAGTGGTAAGTGGGGGATCAGGCTGCGCATGGGTTGACAGGCCGTTTGAATTCCTGATTATCTTGAAATGTTTTTAATGCTTGAACATTTTGTACTCATGTCTTGACACTAGTGACCTCAGAGGCTAGTGTAGAGACTGCCTATAAATGATGTCACAACAAAAAAAGCAAGTGTATGAGCAGTGTCTTTAAGAGTGGTCTTGGCATAGGAACATGAAACAGGCTACTGGGGACAGGTGTGCTAAAGCACTGGTTTTTCAATAACAGCAAGTGAAATGTGTGTCATGAAGTACCTTAGCTTTCAAACTGTTCACGTGTCTCTGACATTTTCCTAGAGTGTAACACCAAAATTGTGTTTTGAAATGCTATAGTGCATCTTTAAAACTCTCTTTTCATCAGATGATGCAGCTGATGCATCTCTTGAAGTAGCGTAAACTTAATGTGTGTTAAGTTCAGGGTTTATTTTTGTCAACTGAAGAATGGAGTTACTAGTGTTGTAGGCAGGGAGGACTTTCTAGGGAGATGAGCCGTCTGGAGTCCTGAGAAGCTCTGTTCTTGACCTTTCTGACACTAGAGCACGTGAAAGTTAGATTGGAATATCTGTATTCAGGTTGAGGGATTTTTCTGATTTGCAAGTGGTAAGTTTTCTTCCTAGGGGTATCTAGAGGGGTATTTAGCCCCTCTCCCTTTCTTTTTTTTTTTAACTAATCTCTTCAGTGCAGACTTAAGAGGCTTTGTTTTAAAATCCGGACAATAAAACTGATATCAGTAGTTAGCAATGGTGGCTATTAAGTTGGAGGTAGGAAAAGGTTCTGTCAGAAGTAGCTCAAGTTTTGACTTGTTGTGAGGGATGTTAGAGATGTGGAGCTTGGAAAAGAAAGAGATGATGAGGGGAGAGTCTGTAAAAGCACTTGAGCCTTTCCACAATATACCATTATATGAGAATTGTGGGAGTTAGTACAGCAGAAGGCATTCTAGAAACAAAAAACTTCAGGAGACTGCTGGTGCCTTCTCGAGAAAACTTGAAATTCAGCAGAGTGAGGTGTTTGTGTTGGTCACTTCCATGTGGTTTTGTCTTGTTGATGTGTTCGTGCTGTGGTTTTCTACTCCCCAGGTATTACCCTCATAGCTGTTGATGAAGCTCACTGTATTTCCGAGTGGGGCTGTGACTTCAGAAATGCCTTTAGAAGATTAGATGTGTTAAAGAAGGCTCTGCCGTCGGTGAGGTTTTGATATATTGGATTTCCAATGTCAGAGAAGCATAGTATATAATTTTATGTGGTGGTTTGGAATATCCATCTTTAGATGTTGCTTCTTGAGTGTGTTTATGATACTGTTTTTGACTTCTTGCAGTCCCAATCAGAGATTGATTGAGCTTTGTGGATTTTATCCAACTGCTAAAATGAAGGATATTCTAAACCTAGACTACCAGAAACTTCTTTAAATTATGCTGTTGGATTCTTGTGCTGTACAAGATGATGACCCTAAGCTTCTGGTTTAATATCAAGGGCTTGCTTTTGAGTTGGCTGAGTGGCTTGCAAGAGCAAGCAACTGTGACTTTCTAGAAACTGCTCAAGCACCTATCACACAAGCTCAAAAATGTAGATCTGAAATTTAGATGCTGCTACTGGAAGTTTGATTTTCTTTCCTAAATTTAGCCAGACATGTTGGAAACTTACACAAGACTTGCTGGAGATGTAACAAAAGAAAGCATACATTCCAAATAAAAATCCTTTTATTTCAATATTTTGTCCCTGTCCTGAGCACTGTCGACCAAAGTGCTAGGAAGCTTAATAATAACTATATTTTTCAAGTCGCTGAACTGTGCCTGTTGACATGCTATTTCAGATTTGAGTCACGATTTTTTTTTTTCTGTTAAATATCACTGAGAGCTCTCAGACTTTTTCTTATACTTTATATTTCAGGTTCCCATTGTTGCTTTAACTGCAACAGCAAGTCCGTCAATTAGACAAGACATAGTGCAGTGTCTGAACCTGGAGAATCCACAGATCACCTGTACTAGTTTCGACAGACCTAACCTGTACCTGGAGGTTGCACGACAAAGTGGAAATATCCGTGGGGATTTGAAGCAGTTCCTTACTAGGAAAGGAAGGTAAGGATTTAAGTCTTGTTTTGTTGATACCTCAGAGTTTTTCGTGTTTGGGGAGCGTATACTGAGTTTTTAGCAGTCTTAAACTGCATTGGTGCAAAAGAGGAGCTTGGCTCTGATATCATACCAGTCACTTGTGGTGTTTTGCTCACCCCCTCTTCCAATTTTAAAAAAGGCTTTTGAGGCAAGGACTCTGTTTGCATGTTGTGATCTTAAGGATCTTCAGGATCATTTGATCCTCAAGGAACCTGTTGACACTGTAGCAGTTGGATGGATTATGCTCGATTGGCTGGTGGGTACCTTTCCAAACAGCTTCTCAACCAGATTTAGTTGGACTTGTTGCAAAAGGGTGTTTTCTTCTCCTCTCTGTCTATACATGTTGCTATTACTTACAGCAGTTCTGCATATGAGTTTGAAGGTCCCACTATTATCTACTGCCCTTCGAGGAAGGCCACCGAACGGGTTATGTCTGAATTGATTCAACTCAACGTGGCCTGTGGTACGTACCATGCTGGTATGGGGATCAAAGAAAGGAGAGACACCCATCAGAAGTTCGTGAGGGATGAAATTCAGGTATGAAGAAACTAACTCTGTTTGTCCCTGTTTATAATGGCAAAGGTTCTAGTAAGGAAGACAGTTGGAGAATACCAGCATGTATTTTCCATTGACTCAGTTTTCAGTTTTTTCACCCAGAAATTGCTGTTCTGTGCTGAATTCCTGGCTTATGTTTCAAATTCCTTTAAATCTCTTACAAGTGCATAGCATCTGAGGGAAATAGTGGTGGCTGGAACAATACTCTCGCTGAGCTGCTGGCTTCCTACTGCAGCTAAGGAGGCCGAGTTATCCGGGGACTTGCCGTGTTCCTCTTCATCTTAAGTTCTGTGCCTTTTGCGAATAACTACTTGGAAACACTCTTGTATTTTGCCACTGCACATCATTACTGTCATGTTGAAAAACTGGCTGTAAGAGGACTGTGGAAGTTGACTTAGCAGTTGTTGTAATTGAGGGTGAATTTTGAGTTTATAGCCGAATTGTCACTGAGTGTCTAAGTGTTAATCCAGGTGTGTTCTTGATGGCTCCTGTTTTGTAGTGTGTCGTGGCTACGGTGGCATTTGGCATGGGCATCAACAAAGCAGATATCCGGATGGTTATTCATTACGGCGCCCCTAAGGAAATGGAGTCATACTACCAAGAAATTGGGCGAGCTGGTCGCGATGGGCTTCCTGCTGCTTGTCATGTTTTCTGGACTGCAGCAGACTTGGTCTTAAACAGGTAAATGACTCAAGAAGACTGCTTTGATGCAGATAGCCAAAACGTAACCAAAGGAAGAGGAGCAGGGTGAGCTTGGTTGAAAAGGCAACCTATTTGTCATGATGGCTCCAAGTCCTTACCTGCATACACACAGGGATATACGCTGTGCTCCTAGAAGATGAGCCACATGTACATTGGTATAATGAGTTTTCCCTTGTTCCAGTTTTGCTTTCTGAAGATGCTTTGCAAGGCACTAATTTAAACCTGTTCACTTCTCTTGTAAATTGCCTGACCTGGTTTTAGACCCATCGTCATGCCTTGAGAGTGCTGATGCTGTTGAAATAGTTCATTTCATTCCACTTTGTACATGTGTACATGGAAGAATACATATTCTTTTTTTATTCATATTTTCCTGGGTAGGGGAGCCTTGGTTGTAGAGGTTTCCTCTTAACTGTCACTAGATAGTCTAAGACCACAGATATGTCTCAGTCATTTGAACTCGTATCAACAGACTGCCAGCACGGATAGAATCGTACGCTTGCATATGCTTTTTAAATTTATTTTTTTTTTAAGTAGGCAGAAGTTTGCTTTGCTCACTTTCTGAGCTGGAATGGTGTAGCCGTGGTAGTGGTGCCCAACACCTGCAGCATTGGCTTGGTCTCAATGCAGCGTGGCACAGCGGGGGTGGTGCAGTCGGTAGCTCAGGTTTGGCTCTTGGAGCAGCTGAGAGAATGGGCAGGGTGAGTATTGGAGGCATCCATCAAGTACCCAAGCTCTTTATTCAGTTGGATGCTTCTGGTGATTACTGTGAAGGATATTCAATTAGGCAACAGGTAGATGTGTCCTGACACACCACCTCTGAGGTTTTTCTTGAAAGAATGACGATGTCCCAGCATATTTTGAAATCTGGCAGTGACGTGGATGAGAACTTGGCAGAGTTTGCAGGAAGAGAGAGTGAGACTAATTGCTGTCTCGCCTTGCCTTCTGCCCTTGTGCCTCTGTGCCTTCTGGCAGGGACTTCTGAAGTGTAATATCCTGTGGGGTAGGAGAAAGCTTGCTGTCTTCTGCCCTGTTTAGACTAATTGTCAGATGTAAATGACTACGAAGAGGGCGTTTTTCAGAGTATTACCCATGATAAAAGCATCAGGCTTGTGGAAGAGCAGGCAGATAGGTTGGGTCTGGTTTTACTAGCAATTATTTTTTTTTTTTTTGCATTTCTAGTGGATTTGATGTAGACATTAGTCTGGTGTATTTCATTTTTGGGGTGGGACAGGGGATTAGTGGTCACCTTCTAAGGATCTTCATTTTTTCCTTTTGACTGACAGGCATCTTCTGAGTAAGATACAGAATGAGAAGTTCCGGTTGTACAAACTCAAAATGTTGGCAAAAGTAGAGAAGTACCTTGTGTCATCTAGCTGCAGGAGGAAGTGAGTACTGGAATCTGTTTAATGCTTTTTGTCATTTCAGTCAGCTTTGATAAGAGCTGTTGTGGCTTGGTCACAACTGGAGGTTGTAACCAGAAGGCATATTGCACTCACAATGTGTTCTGCAAACACTTTTTAAATAAGCAGTATCAAAAAATAGAGCCTTAAGCTTAATTGTATGTACACATCAAGTGTTTCCTTATTTACTTATTTAAAAAAAAAACAACCTCACCAAGCAAGTTCTTCTTTAGAGGAATCAAGGCCAAATAATTGGCTCCCCAGTGAATTAATTAAGGATGATGATTTCAACTCTGTTTTTCGCAATAAATTTAATGTGTGAATTCTTGGTCTTATATTTAATTCCTTACATTCCCTTGGGTAGAATCATCCTGTCTCATTTTGAAGACAAACAACTCCGAAAGGCTTCCTCTGGTATCATGGGCACAGAACAATGCTGTGATAATTGCAGGTCCAGGTAAGCTTTCTTCCCTGAAGGTTGACTTAGAAGGCAAATTATCTAAAAGAATTGCCTTTTAATGTTTCTCATGTTGCAGATGTTCACCCTGAAGTTATCTTCAACAAATGTCTTTTTAATCTTGTCCTAAATAGTTGAGCAAGCCGTAAGGCAGCTCATGAGTTTGAAGTTAGGATGCAGGAAAACCTGTAAATGAAATATAATCTCAGTTTCTAAAAGGATTTACAGGAACACTCTTAGTTGAGAAATATGTTTGAACTCGTTGCTTGAAATCCTGTCAGGTAATAAATCCCAAAAGGAAACATTTGCAAGTGCAGTAAGGTGTGTCCAAGGTTAAATTGCTTGAAGGTTGAGGGAGCTCTTTTAGAGTATGTGCTGACACCTTGTGCTTTCTAATGTTGCTAATAATGTCCTGAGTGTGCTGGGGGTTGAGTCAGGCAGGTGTGAACAGAAACACCTTCCTCTGTTTCTCTTACATGCATGGATATGTTTTTCCTGAAGTCGCAATAAAAGATTCCTTGTTCTTGCTGGTAGCCTGATCAGAGACAAGATATGCTGTGTTGCTTTCTGGAAAAACGTTGTTGCAGTTAGATTTTCTCTATGCTCAACGGTTAAGCAATCTTTGCTTGGCCTCTACTACAAGTAACAAAGAGGAGAGCTGGAGAGATAATAATTTCATTGCAGCCGTGTTGCTGTGCCAGTCGAGAGCCGTATAGTGAATTTGTGTTGCAGAACTGAAGTCATTTGGAATTGATTACTGTCCTTTCTCCTCAAGTGATTTGTGCTGGTAATCTTTCAATGGGTTCTTAGGGTCAGTAATAAATACATGAACAGGTCATAAGGAGTCTTTGATGGGATTGGTGTTCTGTTTTTTCTCCTTTTGTGTCATCCAAAAACAACACACACTCAAAAAACACTCATTGCTACTGGGAGCCTAAACCATTTTGAATATTCAGATAGTAAGATTAGAAGATGGCAGAGGTGATTTTCTGTCACAGCAAGTACCCTGAAGAACTGCTTACTGTTGGGTTGGGCAGCTCCTTTAACCACAACTGATTGTTGACTTTGGGTCTTGTATTCTGAGCCTTATTTATTTATGCTTAAGCATATTTAATTATTCAGACTAATGTCACTTCGTGTATTTTATTTACTTATGGCTTGACAGACAATTGAAAAGGAAGGAGAGGGACTTGATTTGCATGTGTATTTTTTTTTTTTCTTTGTGCATTTCAGACGCTCATGTCTGGAAGTTTCCAGTGACTCAGAAGGGGGTTTGCAGGACTTTGGTAAGCCAGCGTGTCAGCTGCTGTCTGCAGTGAAGGCCCTGCAGGAGAAGTTTGGAACTAGACTTCCCATTCTTTTTCTACGAGGGTCTGTAAGTACTAATAAACCTCCTCGCATGTTTTCTGAGAGTGTGGGACTGCTACTAAGTCCCTCTTGATATACTAAACAGTACTTAGATATAAATGTGTGTATGCATGCTTGTATTGACTACCTGTTTCTTGGAGAGCTGGATATTTGTCAAGAGAGCTAGTCTAGATATTCTAAAGCTGATCAGCAGTACTTACCTTGCAGCAAATTAGGTTGTTGTCTTTGAAGGGAACAGCCATAAAAACAGTGAACCTCCTAAGCATGTTATACTTGAATTTGTGCACATACAGCTGAGTGACTCTAAGCTCCTTCTGTCTTACTTCTGTCTTTCTTAATGGCAAAACATTCAGCCCTCTGGCCCAAGAATTCAGTTTAGAAATAAGTCCTGGTATTTGCCTGGGACTTGGTTCTTT